TCAGTACTGAAGATTAGTACCACTAACAGCTAAGACTCCTATAACTGGGAACAGACATGCTCAGAAGCACCCTATAATGGTCATCTTCAATAGCTTGTGCCGATCATCGCAAAGGCAAAACAAGAAAAAAGCTGAAGGGCATTATCAGCTATCTTCCTTAATTTTGTCTGTAACAGGCTACTACTATTCACTAGTTCCAGTGTAGGCTGACCATCATCACAGCAGTCTAACCTAGCTAAAACTGTTTTGAGTATCCTTCAGCAGCAGAGCATTACTTCATTCTGTAAGCATACATCTGGGCAACATCTTTTCTGGAAAGAGATTACATCTCAGATTTTACTCAGAACTAACAGATGAAATTCAAGTTTATGTTATGTAAAAAAAAAAACAAAAAACAAACACAAACCACAAACATGAAGCTACTTCCTTACCACCTTTTACCCCTTCTCTTTTATAATTAAACTTTCCTCTAATGATATATAGTAACTTTTCTTGTGTTATCTCTGGTTACCACATTGCCTTTAACTGTCTCTTCCTACCTACATTCTCATTATTTTCCCCAAACTGGATCTTGCATTTCCACCTTATCTTAGAAACACAGCAATATAAGCACTGTTTTATTCTCTACTCTTTCAGTGTGCACCCAAATTCAAAGAACATTCATAGAGTTTCCATCCAGCAAACCGCAGTAGTTGATACTGCTGTCACAGATTCAAACTGGTCCATTTTGTCCACAGACTTTTGGTAATCAAAGGAGGACACAAATCTCTATCAAGCTGGGCTCGCTGGCTGGCAAAGCTGACAACAGCTGGAGCACAGCAGTATCAGATTTAGAAAACACCATGTTATTTTATGTACCTGACCTAGGATTTATTCTCTATCCTGCTTAAGCAAAAATTTCATTTTGGTAAAAACTGAAGATATTTCAGCTTTCTGTTGTGGTGATCTGCTCTCCTAAGCCATTACCAGCAATTCATGCTTCTCTCCATCCTAACAAAGCACAGCAAAACAGCATTTAACAGAATGCCAGAACATGCCATCAGCATTCTTACTCAAATAGATATCTAGCTTTTACAGTTACCTTACAAGACCATAAAAAGAAACTGTTAGTAATGATAGCTAATCTAGAAATCTTATTTGCATCAGCATAACTGTAGGACAAGCTGCTGCTTGTCAGACCAACATACCACAGGCCTGACCTGGAGGTATGACATTAAGATTGATGTGAGCTGCTCTAATGTTAATCAGAGAAAATGATTCACTGAGATCACTGCGCATAACTCTTCCTTTACACTAAGTTACACAGTACCTGTTATGACCCAGTTTCTAATTGAAAATATATAATCTTCTAAATTTATTTTTAATACATTATATACTTAAAAGATACACACTTACATTTCCAATAGCAAGAAGAGCTTTGTCAAAGAAGAGTATCATTCCAAAGAAAAGGAAAAACACTCCAAAACCGGTTAAACCCATTCCGATCTCTGCAAGGAGAAATAAAATTAAGTATATTACATAACATGGTAACAGGAGAAACTCATGCTTAGAAATTGATACAAACTTGGAAGATGCAACACACAGGAAGTTTAAGTTCATAGACAAGCTCACAGACTATTTCATTCACTATTTCACTACTTAAAAATTTCCCTGAACGTACAAATAAAGCTAGTCCTGTATAAACCAGTTATTTCAATACCAGAAAAAGAGATGTTTGGGAACTGCTTATCATAAAAAGGATCAATTTAACAATGTACTGAAATGGAATGCAACAAAAGCATGTATGGATATACACATATGGCAAACATCCCTTTTGATTTATTGCTAGCAAGGACTATTTTGGGAACAGGTAATAAAACCTTGTTTTCTATTTGCAACTCTTATCCCATAATGCTTATTGCAAACACGCAAGTACCTCATCCTCCTGAGACCTCACGTTCCATGTTACATGCATGGCAATCCCATTTTCCCAACTTCCGGATTAAATGCAACACAGATTAATGCTGCAGGCTGCTTCCATATAACACATGCTGATGGCTGAAGGATCATAACACTGTCGACTTCAGATGCTTAATTTACAACAAAAAATTCCCAAACAGCTCAGAGTAAAGAAATTTGTTACAGCAACATCCAGATTCCCCAACTTCTCCTTTCAGCAAGGTTGCTGACCACATGGTGTTAAATCATGGTATTAAGTCTGCCACATTAAAGCTTTACTATGAGCATTTTAACCACTCTGTATTAAAATCACTACAAGACAATTTCCTCTCTGCAGACATTTACAGTACTTTTTTACAATGAACTGCAATGAACAGTGAATTGCAAATTGCATCTGCACTGAATCAACTGACTGAAACTAACAAAGGAATTGTAGTCTGCCCTTTCTTCTAGTGCTCTTTACTTTAGAAGAGCAGAAACAATCTGTATTCTGGAAAGAAAACACTCTGAGGCAGGATTCCAAAGGAATTACCAGCTGCCAATAAGATAAATATGCTGCCACAGGAAGCGAGTACTCATTCCTTCTTCAAACACAGTACAAAGTGGGGTGCGAGCAAGAAACAGAGGCTAACTCCCAACAGCTGCTGCAATTACAGCTCTAACACTTCTGTATTCACTTGAAAACCATTTGTAACCACTTACTGCCACAGCGGGTTCGGTTTCCCTTTAGAAATCAACCACACTCTCTGGTTAGCAGAGGAAAAAAAATGCCCACCATTCTCATCATCCCAAAGTTACCGCTGAAAGCAGATGAGATACTGGCAATGGAGGGCAGTAGTTCTGGACTCATTTCAAGTAAATGTTACCAATCCAATCACATCAGAACTGTGTTAGTTCTGTTTTTTTTTCCTCCAAAGAACATCAAGTCAAGTATGTCTGGCCCTGTCATTTTGTAGTCTTGGCAAACAACAAGCTAGGAAGTTTTGTGATGGGCACAAACTACTGTTAGAATGCTTTCTCCCATGACATAAAAGCCTTCCTATATATCACTCAAATACAACTTTTCCAGTGTCTAGAAATGCAGATACACATTCCAGCCATGTGACAGCTATCCTTCAATAACTGCAATTTGCAGAGGGGAGGGATCAACACATTCCCAGTGTTCCTACAGAAACCCCATGAATTGTGTGAGTAGTGCAGCAAAGCACCAAAATCTTAGCAAATACTAAGTCTTAAGATAGACTGGTTATGAAAGGTAAGGGATGGAACTACACACTATCTTTTTATAAAAGTAATTATTTTTTGTGTTACAATTCTGTATTTTCCCTAACAGAAGCGAGTTTCAAAACATCTGAAGAAATATCTTAGAAAAATGCTGAAATTCAAAAGCCTCACACTACATCTACTACTCGCAGCTCTGAGTTAAAGCTAACAGTTAGCTCAGTGTCCCAAAAAGAAATTAAGACAAGTACAAACAGTGAACAGAGCTCTTTTTCCCAATGAATACTTTGGATGGGACAACGGAAGAATGAACAAAAGTGAAGCCTACAAGGTTTTAACAGATTATATACCTAAGAATTAGCTCTAAAATTTAACACCCATTCCAGCAGCAGAGCATAGCACCTGAATTTCTCAGGAAGTCATTAACCTTGTGTGTTGCTAACCCGCTGTACTGCCCATTTACATCCTTTGCCTCAGTTGGTTCACCAGTGTTTTCAGTGCTCTGCTATCAAGTTAAACTTCCTTTCCCTACAGCTTTCACACTTGTCCTCCTTTGAGCAACATTACAACACTCATTTCCTTTTATGGTAACTATACTGAGAATGCATTAACTTAAAATAATGATGTTCTCTTTTTCTTTGCAGTTTCAATGCCTACAAGCCCTCTGATTTCTTTCAATTTCCCCTTTCAGCATCTTTAACCCCAGCTATTCCTTGTCAGGGAAAGCAAAACTACTGTCAGGTCCAAGCTGTTCTTCATTTGTTTCAGACTGAGTGCCCGCTGCTCACTTTAAAACCCCTTCTACGTCACCTGCAAACTCCATTCGGTAGCAAAGTTAAAAGGAACAGTAAAGACACTGATATGTATTTACTCAAAACCATTAACGTCCACATGGAGGCATACGGGATAACAGGCATCTGCCAATTCTCACTTTTGTGTACCAGTCAGTTTTCATTCATTCTCTTCTTGCCATTACCGCCAGGCAGCAACACCACCACCGCGAAACACCTCACATCCCAAAGCAGACGCCGGCAGCAGCAGCGCTGTTGACCAACGCCCACCTGAAGATGCTGGGAGGGCCCCGATAGGCTGTATTCTAAGCTCACACCCCCCTCGCTTTCAGCTTCACCCCACGAGCCCCATCAGCACCGCCGCCCCAAGGTATGAGCGCATCCATAGCGTCCCTCAAAGCACGGCGATGCTGACAGCGGCAGCTGAGCTCCCTCTCGGCCCGCACACCCCTACCGCCGGCAATCACCGCCCGAGCCGGACGCTCCCAGCGACTCCACCGCTCCGCCCGGCCCCGTGCTTCGCCCATACTCCGAAAGCGAGAAGCGCCAACAAAGGGCGCGACGCTGGGGTGGGTCCGTCACGTGCGGCCCTATGCCGGGCTCACTCAGCCCTCCCGCCAGCACTCCGACGGGCACTCCGCCGCGGCAGGAGACCCGCGTTCCCCTCCCACCGGGAGCCAATGGGGCGAGGGCGCGGCGCTCACTCTGCGTGTCCGAGAGGGAGATCATGGTGGCGGCGGGGCGACGGCGGGGAAGGAGAAAGAGCCGAACGGCAGGAGCAGGGCGACAACGGCCACGTCTTCCGGAAACACGCAGCCCCCTTCGCCTCGCCGCCGGCTGAAAGGACAGCGCCGATTGGCGGGGCGGCACCCAATTAGCAGCCGCCTTGTTCGAGTGGCTCCGCCCCTCCGCCTTCGTTCCGCCGAGCGGGAGGCTCGTAACGTCGGCGTGGATTGGGGGAGAGGGCAGCGCGTGGTGATACTCGCGCTCGTCTCGCTGTAGGTGATTGGCTGAGGGGAGCCGGCAGCGGAAGTAGGGGACGCAGGGGAGGGGTGGAGCTTGGGAGCCGGCCGGCAGGTGGGAGGGCGCGGCAGCCGTGGGGTGCGTGTGGCCGCGTGGAGCGGGCGTAGCGAGGCGCCGTCAGAGGTTGCACGCGTGGTCGCTGCGGTTCCGTCACGGGCCTCGGGAGCTGCGGGACTCGCTACGCTGAGGTGGGCGCTGCCCGCGTGTCTGCGGAATGCTCTGCCCGCAGGTGGTGCACGCTTTTCCCTGTGAGTTCAGGTATTTTTCTGTTTATTTACTTATTTTTTCTCACAGTGAGATGTTATGGGCGTACGTGTTGGGGTTTTATTGCTGAGTGAGGGAGCTGTCTCTAAGGAAGGGTGTTATTGTGGGTTTTATTCCCTTCGTATTTGCAACCACAGAGTGCCTTGGGCTGGAAGTTCCAGCCCCCGTCACGGACAGGGCTGCTGCCTACCAGCTCAGGCTGCACAGGGCCCCATCCAGACTGGCCTTGAACATCTCTAGGGATGGGGTATCCACTCTGGGCAGCCTGTTCCAGCATCTCACCATTCTCATAGTAAAAAATTTCCTCCTGATGCCCATCCAAAATCTTCCCTCCTTCAACTTAAAACTATTTCCCCTTGTCCTGCAGTTATCTACCCTTTCAAAGAGTTGATTCCCCTCCTGTTTGTAGGCTCCCTTTAGGTACTGAAAGGCTGCAATGAAGTCACGTCACAGCCTTCTTTTCTCCAGGCTGAACAAGCCCAGATTCCTCAGCTTTTCTTCATAGGAGAGGTGCTCCGACCCTCTGGTCATCTTCATGGCCTCCTCCGGATCTGTTCCAACAGCTCTGTGTCTTTCCTGTGCTGGGGGCTCTGAGCCTCGATGCAGTACTCCATAGGGGCCTCGTGAGGGCAGAGTACAGGAGAACAGTCATAGAATCTTAGTATATTTGAGTTGTAAGGGTCCTATAGGTTTCATTGACTCAAACACAACTGATCCAATGTGGTGGATCCAATGCTCAAACACAGACTTGCACTATTTCTGTCAGTGATTGCATATACCAGGTGTGAATTAAATTTATTTCTTATTTAAAGAAGAGGTGTGGGGGGAGATGAATGAGTTCTGAAAGACATGGTTTATTCTTTTCCCCTCTAACAAGAAACTGGACCAGGGCACACCAGAAATGCCACTGCTGTACCTGAGCCCTGCATTCACAGCAGCTGCAAGCTGATTGAGAAAGTTTTCTTCCCATCCCTCTTTGTTATAGTTAATAATATTATTAATAATAGTATTATATTATAATACATTATTATCTTTTAGAGCAGATCTGCTATTTCTGTGGGGCAAGATAAGGAGATCTTACAGAGCTCTTCTGGGTACTTATATGTGCATGCATGAGAAAATACGTGCATGTATTTGTTTGATTCTTATCATTGGTTTTGTGGGTACAAAGGTGGCAAAAGAAAGGGGAGAAGGGACAGAGCCCCATTGTGGAGCACAGCAGGTTTTGGGGGCTGCAGCTTTGGCACTATCCTTGACCCTGTTGGATGTGTGGGTGAGAACATCGGAGCTCTGTCCTGTTCTTGTTTCTATCTCTAGCTCCAACACAACCCATCTCCATTTCCATTACTACCCATACCATAAAGTCATGCACAATCCCATGCTCATCCCTCAGCTTCGTAGGGCTCATGTAGAGCCTCAATCCATGCACAGCCCCATCTCATGCGCAGTGCCATTCCCAACAGGAGCTCTACTACATCCCTGTTCCATGCACAGCCCAGTGTTCAAACAATCCCCTCCCTTGCTCTGCTGGCCACCCCTCTTGATGCAGCCCAGGGTAACTGTAGGGATGCTTACCTTGATAGCATCTTATTAGCATTGCTCTCTTAGAGTTGGACTGAGGGGCTTTTATTTGAGGCTGCATAGAAGGTGGGGTAGGAAAACTGCCAGTGATGGGACACTGATTTAAATCTTCAGGGCCACAAGTGACACATATCACTAACATGCCTTGGGCATGGCTTAGCAGCCTTTCTCCATTCCAGAGGGCTGTTTAAGTAAGGGTATAATGGGATGATTGTAGTAATCTTTCTGTTTTTACAGTAGGGTACAACTGCCTACAGGGTAGAATGCTTCCACTTGTGTTTTGTCTGCTTATGGCTTGTGAGATATGAGTTTGTCTTTATTCATTGTCTTAAGAGCTGCATGTTTGATAGTCAGATGGGTTCTTTGCTGGCAGTGTTGGTACAGAATGAATTATAAGGTATACTGAATGCTACTTTTAGAGGCAGGAGCTGAACTAAAGACTTGTAAAGCTTTAGCAGCACAAGGGGTTACTTTCCTCGGTCCCTTTCATTCACTTCCTACTCTTTTGATAAGAAAATGTTTTATGCTTAATGAGCTATCAGCATAGTGATGTTTGTGATGATTGCATTTATTTTTGGAGAATAGAAGTATATTACACTTACAGGGTGTCAGTTCCATAGCTGCTTGATTTCTGCATGTTCCTACTTGCCCTGTGCATGGAAGAAGCTAACATTTCCAAATACTTTTGTGCAAGTGGCAGGTGATGGAGAGAGGACTGTATGACTTGGATTTTGTAGGAGATGTGGACACGCTGCTGAGTACTGTCAGCTTCTCTGTGAAGTGTGGACCTTCAACTTCTAAAATACAACATCATCTGACAAATTCAGTCCTTTATTTGCATATTTTTTTAAATACATTTCTGTCCTATTTGTAGGAACTGAGTAAAATATCTCTTGCTTTAGGATTAGCTTTAGTGAAGGTCTTCTGAATTCTGTTACACCTTCCCTCAGATTTGACTTCTGCATATATACAGTAAATCGTTGAGAATTACCCCAGGTTTAGAGAATATTAAGCTTCTTAAGATTTATATTACTAGTATATACTACAACAAAGGGTGTCATTCAAATGTTAAGCCAGCAATTAGATTTCTAAGTTTGTCTCATTTATGATCTAATCACTCTCCTCTGAACCAAACTGTCTTTCTACTTTCTCCTGGAAGATCCTCTAAGTGTTATTGTGGGTATTTTTTAATGGATGCATTGTAATTTGTTCTGATTTTTATGTAAAGTAGTCTTCAAACAGAATTGAAAAAAGGTAGGTCTAATGTGAGTGAATGACTTGTCTAAATTATACCATGCATCTGTTAAAGGGATGAGGAAGACTTCCATAAAATTTTAGTCTTGGTCAAAAGTCTCTCAATTCCATTTGGAGGATCTTTATAGCTTAAGGCTCTGTGTAACCTTAAGAGCTGTTTATAACTTCACATCTGTGTGAAGTCTCCTACACCTTTAGCAGCAAGGGAAAAAGTGTGTTGTCGTATAGTTTGGTTTATTTATTATAGTTGGGTCAAATGTACCAGTGCTTAACCTGTTCTATTAGCACCTCATATATTGACAAATTGCTTGCAGTAAATATGCTCTAACTTTAGAAGGATTACTAATGAAACTGTTCTTTGTTTTATTCTTAGTGACAGTTACTTGGTTAAGTAAATTCTCCTGAGGATAGCCCTCTGTATTCTCTAGAGATGACAGCTGTGGAAGGTAATCTAAAATTAGCACTCCGTGTTCATTTTGCTGTCTTTTGGTTAACAGACATGATCACCTGATTTATTGATCGTTATTTATAGGAATTTGATGTATGCAGAAAAGAGTATCAGATCTGTGTTGTTATACTTCAGATTCGAAGAGAAAGATGTCTTCATAGAGTAATAGAATAGTTTGGGAAGGGACCTTTCAAGATGATCTGGTCCAACCACCCTGCCATGTTTGTGTTTTTTGTTGGTTTCTTGTTTTTAAACTGCATAATGTTTTTGTTTCTTGGAATAAAAACTAAAATTGAAGTTGATTTTCCAAAGGAAGTACTTAGCTTTAAGTGTATTGAAAATATGCTTCGTATTATAAAACACTTTCAGCTCCTTCCTGCTGAGTAACAGTGGACTTTTTGGAAGACAAATATCCTGATTTTGTGCCATTTGTAAAGCTTTTTGCATGTGAAACATTTTTCTTCCTGTAAGCAATTCATCATATCTGCTATGTTTGGACCAAGCCTAGTATTTTGGAGGAAAAAGAAAAAATATTTTTAATGCTTTTCTAGCCTGGCTTGAAAATGATGGTACATGATTGACATACTGTGTTACTACTTTTTCATTTTATGGGGTTGAGTTCTAGAGCACAGCCCATAGAATCATATAATTGCTCAGGCTGGAAAAGACCTTGAAAATCATCGAGTCCAACCACAACTTACCCATACTACCCTAACTACCAGCTTTCTGCTAAATCATGTCCCTGAGCACCACATCCAAACTGTTTTTAAACACATCCAGGGATGGTGACTCAACCACCTCCCTAGGGATCCTATTCCAACACAACCTTCACAACCTTTTCTGTAAAGAAGTTTTTCCTGATATCCAACCTAAACTTACCCTGGCACAACTTGAGGCCATTTCCCCTCATCCTGTCACCAGTGAGAAGAGACCAACCCTGCTCTTGCTGTAAGCACCTCTCAGATATTGGAAGAGAGCAGCAAGTCTCCCCTCAGCCTCCTTTTCCTCGGCCTAAGCGACCCCAGTTTGTTCAGCTGCCCCTTCACAAGCCTTGTTGCCCTTCTTTGAATCTGCTCCAGCACCTCAATGTCCTTTCTGTACTGAGATGCACAAACTGAACACAGTACTCAAAGTGAGGCCTCACCAGCGCCAAGTACAGCAGCAGGATTATTTTCCTAGTCCTGCTCACTGCACCATTCCTAATACAAGCTATAATTCACATAGAGGCACATAAGGATGTGTAGAGACAAATTCCTGCTGAAGTTTCGCTTATCTGAGTCAGGCATTTGGGGATTGTTTGCTTCAGCTCTTTCAGATTTGAAGAATGGCTTGTGTTCACAGAAAGCTTTTGTCCTCCATGTTCAAACCTTGACATTTAGCAAATGCTCTGGATCTGCACAAAAGATAAGATGTGAGTGCATAAAACATAGCATGAAACATTCCTGCTAATGTCTCTATTTCCATCTTCAGAAAACTTTTGCTTTGTGAGGTTAAAGTTGATTCTTATGTGTAAATGCAGTCTACTAAAAATGTTTTAACACTGAGCTCACGCTGAAGCTACCTGGAGTACTTCTGTGTTCATTGTAACTCTTTAAGCTTTATTATCGGGCAGATGCAATTTGCTTTTCATTTCCCAACCTGTATCTGCAGAGAAGAAAACAATGGCAAGTATTTTTCTAGAGAAACTCCACTTCTGAGAAACAAGATTGTGATGTACTTTTTTCTCTATTAATCAGTGTAGCCAGTGCTAGTGTTGCATATCTCATACACTGTATCAGAGGTGACAATGTAGAGTACATAAGTGCTTTCATACAGCCTGCTAATATATGAAATACCTCGTTAAGCATTGTGAAAAATTTTTACATGGTACGTACAAAAATTAAGATGTTGTAATCTTACCAGTGGGATTAGCATGCTGTCTTTTTCTGTAGATGCTCTTGGTTTGTGTTTAATTTTGATTGTTCTCAATCAACATGTGAAGTACATTATTCGTATTAATATTTTTGCCTCTGCCTTGTTTTTGTCGTCAGTGCTAGAGGATGAATTGCTTTCCATTGAAAATGAGCTGCAGGCAGTGGAGATGCAGATTCAGGAGCTGCTGGATAAACAGCAAGAACTCATTCAAAAGAAGATGACGTTAAAAAAGCTGATAAAGCAGTCCTTGGGAGAGTCAGCAGCAGGGGGAAGTAAAGAGACTGAAACCTCAGTTGAGGCGTGGAACAAAACAGGTTTGCAAATATTATAACGTAGAAGCCATTTAATTTAGTAGGGGTAAAATGTGTTGTACAGAGCTCTGTTTGGATAGTGATACTGTTCCATTCTATTTTGTTTGTCTGGGTGGCCTTCCATCTTACACAGGATAATTTTGTGCTTACTTTTCTGGGCGTTTAATACTAATCTGGGTTCTTCTAGGCTGAATTCTTCTAGCGTAGAAGAATGGCCTTTAATAAATATTGTCCTGGTTTCAGCTGGGGCAGAGTTGTTTTGTTGTTTTTTTTTTTTCCCCTGTCTGGTAGGATGTTCGAAAGAAAAACAATATTGATAACTCACCAGTGTTTAGTTGTTGCTGAACAGTGCTATAAACAGCCAAGAGGGTTTCAATTTCTTATATTATCCTGCTAGGAAAGAGGGCTGAAGCTGCACAAGAAGCCAGGAGGGGACAGAATTGGGGCAGCTGACCAAAGGGATATTTCATACTACATGACATCATGTGAGGAAATTATAGAACTGAGGGGAGTTGGCTGGGGTGAGGGATGCTGCTGTTCAGGGGCTGGCTGCACAGCTGTCGGCACATGGCCAGCAATTGTTTTGTAAATCACTTGTTTTGTAAATATATATTACATTGTTATCATTTCTATTATAATTCTCCTTTTCTGTTGCTTTTCTTCTTAGTAAATAGTTTTTATCTCAACCCACAAGTTCTACTTTGCTTTTTTTCACAATCCTCTCCCCCATCCTACTGCGATAAGGAAGTGAGTGAGCAACTGTGTGGTGCTGAGCTGTCTGTTGGGTTAAACCACAGCAACTGCTCTTATTCTTTTCTTGATGTAAAGTCACAGCTTAATTGTATTTGCAATAATAATCCAAGAGTAAACCTGGATAGGTTGCAGTGCTTGTTTTTTGATAAAAAATAAACAGGAAATAATTACTCTGGATGTTTTCAGGTTTTATTGATAACAATCTTGCATTCTTAAAGTTGCTTCTTACTGTCTCTGTTTCTTTTTGCTTGAATGGATAGGACATCAGTGGTTTTAGTGTCGGTTTTATACCTCCACTATCTTGCCTAATGATGCAAATTTGATAGATGCTGACTTAAAAAAAAAATATAATGTAGAAAATGTTAGCAATGTAGACTTAGTTCAAGTTACAAATGTCCCATGGTGGTGTGAGGGCTGCTGTTCTTTTGGAAGTGCTGTTTTTCAAGTGAATGTTAATTGAAGATCTGGATGGCTGGTTGGTTTGGACCTTGTTATGACTAGCAAATTCAATTAAATCTTTTCACTATCATTTTCCTCCTCTTTAACTTTACTGATTACGGATACTGTGTAATTTCAGATCAGTGCTATTGAACAAAGCTATATATTTTGGGGGTCTTTTCTCCTGTGCTTTAAAACTTAACATTTTTTTCAATCAAGTGCTGTGTTTGTATGTACTGAATAAGAGGTGTAGCAAAATTTGTTCTCAGTATTGAGCCTATTGAAATCAACGGGAGGCTTTCCTTTTTCTCACAGAGCCCTGGGACTTAGCTGTGATCTCTGTAAATTAAGGAAGCAATGCTACCTCAAGTCCCAAAGCTTATTATCTCTGGAATATATGGAACAATGCCTTTATTATCTTACTTGCAATGACTGCATTTGTATGAAGGAGGCATTTGGGCAACCGTGTAGTAAGGCTGTTGTAGGACTCCATGTCTGCTTTTGTTTATTTTCAGGATGGGCTTCTTGTTTCCCTTTAATTTTGTAGTAACCAATTGACTTAATCGTTAGCATTTTAAAGTGCTTCATCTGTTTGTGAGTTTTTAGCATTAGTATGTAAATGAAAGCCCGTAGTCTGGAGGTGGATCAGTTTGCATTTACATAGGGTTTTCAAAGGTACACCTACTAGAAATTAGATTATACAGACTTGGTTTTTGTGCCCTTATTGAGTCTTTGAAAACTCTTGCATCAAAAGGTGTGTCACTTTCTACTCTAGTTACTGTATATGTAAGTTACCCTTGTATTTTAGGAAAATGAGTAAAAATGCGTTTTTTGTCCTTTACAGATTTTCCATGGTATGAGAAGATAAAAACTGCACTGCAAAACAAGTTTAAACTCCAGAAGTTTAGATCCTTGCAACTTGAAACAGTAAATGCTACAATGGCAGGAAAGGATGTATTTCTTGTCATGCCTACAGGTGGTGGGAAGAGCCTCTGTTATCAGTTGCCTGCTGTCTGTTCTGATGGTATGTATGAGGAGGAGGGGCCATATATAAACAACTGAATTTAGCTTCCCCCTTACAAAGTTCTTCGGAGAATGCATGTTGCATTGGTGTCTGATCATAGAATCATGATTGTTGGAAAAGACTGCAAAGATCATCCAGTCATCAGCCCATCCCCACCAACCCACTGACCACAGCCCTCAGTGCTGCGTCAACACGGCTCTTGAACACTTCCAGGGATGGTGACTCCACCTCCTTGTGCAGCCTGTGCCAATGCATCACCACTCTTTTTGAGAAGAAATTTTTTCCTAACATCCAACCTGAACCTGCCCTGATACCTGATATTAAGCAAGAGAAAAAAGAGCAAAGATAAGAGAGATTTACTGGAAATATTTGCGTTGCTCTTTTTTCTTTCTTGTTTTTTCTTTCTTTTTTTTTTTTTTTAAGGAGCAGCCTTAAAATAGATGAGCCTTTTAGATGTGAGTCAAATCATTTGCATACATTCCTGTCATTACTTCATATTTTTAAACACTGGAAGAAGTTTTCTAATGTTTGTCTCTATATTTTTTTCTTAAGCTTTTAATTTAATATACAGATTACTCTGTATTATCATTACTTCAGTGGTGAGTGGAGACAGGACAAGGGGAAATGGCGGGAAACTGCAGTACAGGAAGTTCCACACAAACGTGCACAAGAACTTCTTTACAGTGAGGTGATGGAGCACTGGAACAGGCTGCCCAGGGAGGTGGTGGAGTCTCCTTCTCTGGAGATGTTCAAGACCTGCCTGGATGCCGACCTGTGTGACCTGCTGTAGGGAACCTGCTTTGGCAGGGGGGTTGGACTCGATGATCTCTGGAGGTCCCTTCCAACCCCTACAATTCTGTGATTCTGTGATTATAAATTATTCAAATATCGATAACTGTTATTTTTCTGTATTTTAGCTCCAGATTATTTGAGAGAGGCTTTGTGCATATATAAAACAAACAAACAAAAAAACAACAAAAATCAAGTATCCAGCTGTAGGTTTTTAAACTTCTTTTGGAAAAAATAACCCTTCTGACTGCATGGAAATTTCTTTATTTACAAAGATCAAGCCTATCACTATCTATCATTGCTTTATTACACGTCACCTCATGACACAGCTGTGAATTTAACTTGCTTTGTTTTGTATGTTAGTCCTTATACTCTGCTTTTTGCATCTTAGTTCTAGATTTTAAGAGAAGGTGCATGTCATAGTCAGTTGATCAAATGTCCCTGACATGTGTGACCATGCACTTATCAGCTATCTAGGAGAGGAATCAGCTACTAGCTATATAAAGTTTAAGCTCCTGTTAGGCAGTTCTAACAGGACAGGATTGATGCATTATTTAAAAAAAAAAAAAAAAGTGTTAGAAGTGACAGCATGCAAACTTAATGGTTCACATGTCACAGATAATTTATTATTACAGGTTTTACACTTGTGATATGTCCTTTGATATCACTTATGGAAGATCAGCTCATGGTTTTGGAACAGCTTGGCATTTCTGCAACTTTATTAAATGCTTCAAGCAGTAAGGTATGTTTATCTGTTAAGATTTTATGCCAAGCTCGCATCTTGCCTCTGTTATTTACAAACACTGAATGGCACCGTTTTAGCAGCCAGTGCTATCAACAGAATCTTGTTAGCTGTGTGCTGTGGTATGGGTAACATGAATGAATTTATAGCATTCTTTTTTTAATAACAAGGGCACATTGAGACCATAGCTTTCATGGAATAGGTAGATTATGTGGGGTTATTTAAAGGATGTGCAGACCTTTGGCTGGTGTTTATTTTCTGTCTCTACTGCATTTCTAGACATGAAAGAAGATTGGAGGAGGTGATTTTGTCTGCTAGTGACTTCTTGAGCAGTGCAGGCTTTTACATGCAGCATTTTGTCTTCCCTTGGGATGGTAAATGTTTAACACCAAGGGCAAGAAGTATTTTATTTCACAGTGTGTTATTAGTCAATTACTTTTTGCAGTGTTTTTTTTTTTTTCCTGACTACCAGGAGGCCATGGTCATTAAATTGCACATGACAATGGATTTGATGGCTTAGTGGCCTGATGCTACTTGCCGGACTTGCAGCCAGCTTTCAGGTGGAGCATATTGAAAATACAGTAATACAGCTTACAGCTGGGAGTCCTTGTTGCGTACACATAATTATTTTATCCTTGTAGTATCACAGGCTTGCTTGATACATTATAGTTTAATGGGAAAATACTGACAACAGATGCTGAAGCAAAAACAAAAATTGAATAGTTTTGTTTTTCAGACTTATGTGAAAGATTTTCCAAGTATTAGTGTTTTATGTATATAGTGGTCTTTTGCAAAGACTTGCACTAGTGGTAAATACTGTGTAACAGTTTATCTCTATGTTGGTTACCTTCTGCAAATTGTCAATAACCTCTTAAGAATCCCAGCTGTAAACAACTTCAGTGTGTTGTCCTAGTTTCCTCACACCTGATTTCTCCTTTTGTTTTGAACAGGAACATGTGAAGTGGGTTCATACGCAGATGCTAGACAGAAATTCACAACTGAAGCTCCTTTATGTGACCCCAGAGAAGATTGCAAAGAGCAAAATGTTCATGTCAAAGCTAGAGAAAGCTTATCAAGCAGGATGTCTTGCTCGCATTGCTGTAGATGAGGTCCACTGTTGCAGTCAGTGGGGCCATGACTTCAGGCCAGGTATGCTCCTTAGAAATCCAATTTGCGGGGTTGTTCAGGCATCAATAAATAATAAGTTAGGCCTGAAATAAAGTTAAGTGCTTTCTTCATATGTTAAGTAAATAATTCCATAGTTAGGTATGACAGGAATGTGTGTTAGCTCAAGAACTTCTGTTCATAAGCGACTCTATCCTTGTCCATTAGCTAGATTCATTCAAGCTGGGGCTATTTCAATGTCCTTTTTGGTGTTAGTATTCTGAAAAAACTGCTATTGAAACTGTTTTTGGATATCATCTTTAATAAAGACCATGCAGTCATCTCTAGTCTTCTGCTACAGGAAAAATGTGCAATTTTGTATACCAGTCTTTAGCACTCTAGATGAGGTAAAGGATCTCATTCTGGGATGCAAAGTCTTGTGTTCTGTTAAGATAGTTAGGTGATGATAATGCCTTTGGAATTGATAAAATACATTTTAATTGCTCATAAAGAAGTTTGAATCTTTCCTTAGTATACTCTGTTCTGTTTATCCAAATTCCACATTTTTTGTTTATTAGCAAAGCTCTGTTTACAAAAACAAAACAAAACCCAACCAACAGGTTTTAAAAATACCTGCAAAGTAATCTGTATGTTGTTTAATGCAGTGTAATAATATTTTAATATTGTTTTTTTATTCTTGCTCAGACTACAAATCCCTTGGTATCTTGAAAAGACAGTTTCCCCTTGCTCCCTTGATTGGATTAACTGCAACTGCTACAAATCATGTTTTAAAGGATGCTCAGAATATTTTACACATTCGGAAATGCATTACCTTTACTGCATCTTTCAACCGGCCTAATCTTTACTATGAGGTATGTCTGCTTAAGTGCATCACAGCCGTATTATCTTCTGTAAGTTACAGCTGAGGAACTTCAGGATAGATTGCCAGTTACGTGTATTATTAATATCTAGCCTGCAACTGAGTGGCAGTGCTCTTTAATGTCTTCATCTGGGTCTACTATCATTTGCATAGGAACGTGGGCTGCCCTGATCTTTCTGAGCAAGGCTTAGCAAATAGGACCATATACAGGGGAGGGGCAGACGAGCAGTTTCAGGCTGCTGCAATCTGTTGGGAAACGTCCTATCATTACAAAAGGCCTGAATTAGTGTGTTGTGCTGCACTGTATGACAGTGACTTACTGTTCTTCATGGCATCTTAGTTTTCCTTTTCATCCTGTGAGCTTTTCAGATGTAATCTGACTCTTAGTAATGAGAGTGTTAGCCGTTTTGGTTAAATGACAGAACAGTTGTATTTACAGTGCTTGGAGAAGTAGGATAAAAGCATTGTTTTAACAGATTGCTTGCCAACCTCTCTGGCATGTGTGTATTATGTTTTTGAGGTTCGGCATAAACCTTCAAATAATGAAGATTTCATTGAGGACATTGTTAAGATCATTAATGGAAGATACAAAGGGCTCTCAGGTAAACGATATAAAACCGTACTATTATAAATAGCATTTAGCATTACATGAATTGTTTCAAGTGATCCTTAAACTTACAAAGAAATTCCAAATTTAGTAAGATCTGTACCTTGAGTAATCACTCATTCCATTCAATAGTGTTTAATTTTTCTTACAATTAATGTCTGTTTTAATACTTCAGAAGATACAGTGTTGATGTATGTAGAACAGTGCTTACACAGGTAAGAATAATAGCAATTTTTAAGACTGTAAAAACAAGTCAGAAAAGAGGTTCTCTCTATGCTTTTAATTCATGCATTTCCCATGTATTATCTGTGTTAATATACTTAGTAACAATTTGACAACTCTTTTTTGTGTTTGATCATAAGATTCATGTATTACCCAGTGCCCAGAATGGATGGATGAATGGTGAATTGCACTTGTTGTGATGAAAGCAGAACTGTAAAAGCTGGACTTTGTGCATTCAGTAAATTATGAAGGCTGCTCCAAAAGTAATGCCTCCTATTCTATTATGTTGGCCCATGACATCTGAGGCATTGGTATGGCAGCTGAAAGTGAACTTTCCCACCAATATCTTGTCACATTTTGTTGCCCTAAAGCAGATGGCAGCAGAGGGGCAGTCTGATAGAATGGTGTCTGACTTGGAAGTGTGTATAAAGCAAAGGTGTGGCACTGAATTTTTCCATGTGGAAAAAAATGGCACCTATTGACATTCATCAATGCTTGCTGAACATTTATTGAGACCAAAGAATGGGTGTGAGCACAGTGGAGGTGGTGTTTCAGCAGTGGTGACAGTGGCACGAACAAACCATGTTCTGAATGGCCGTGCACATTTTTATGAGTGCGTCATCCGGTTCTTGTTCAACACTGGAGAAAATGCACAGCTAATGGTGAGGACTACTTTGAAAAATAGTGTTTTGTATTGGAGAATTCAACCTATCAAATGGTGTTATTGTGCTCTTTGTATCTGTTATAGTTTCCATGGTAATAAGTAGGAGAAATTACTTTTGGAGCACCCTACGTATATAGCGCACATCAAAAGTAATATATTTACAAGAGCAACAGATCCCAGTTTTCTGGAGCAGCAGTCTTTGCTTGTCCTTGATGTACAACTTTGCACCTGTGTATACAGGGCAGCTCTCTGTATACAGAACTGTACTAAGAAGATGAAAAACTGCATGAGTTAGTGTATCATCTTAGGTTTACTCCGAATTGACAAGAAGTTGATTTATCTGAAATCTCAGGTGAGATGTCAGATGCCGTAGGAGTCTTAATGGGCCCCTTTAGTAAAGGACTACTTCACATAAGGACTAAAAAGCATTGTCTTCCTTGATCATAATCGCTGCCATGATTATGCAGATTGGAATCCATTTTTTCTCTAAAATCTATCATTTTTTCTCTTTAACCTACAAGCTAAAGCTGTAAGTTGAACTGTTTTTCTGTACGGTAGGAAAAAAGCCCCAAAAGGTAGGTAAGCCAATTTTTTTTCCTAAATTTAAGAAGCTTGGTAGGAGAGCTTCTGTGTTGCTTTTGACCTATTCTGTCTTTTTCAGATTGATTATTTAAATTCCTCTTGTGGCTACCAATACTGCATACTGAATAGGCACAAAGACTATTTACTGACTAGTTATTTGTAAATTAATAAAACTTTCACAATTTCTTTCTTCTTAAGCATTGGGGATCGTAGGGTGTGTTTGTTTTTTATGGCATTATAATAAGGCATCTTTTTCTTTTATGCAGGAATTGTTTACTGTTTTTCTCAGAAGGACTCTGAACAAGTTACCATCAGTTTGCAGAAACTAGGAATAAAGGCAGGAACTTACCATGCAAACATGGATGCTAAATATAAGACCAAAGTTCATAAAGGATGGGCAGCAAATCAAATTCAGGTTAAACAGATATTTCTCACAGATTTGTGTCGCATTAAAACAAATTGTAACTTGGTACCTTGATGGTTTCTCAACCTTATTTCAGGTTGTAGTGGCAACTGTTGCTTTCGGCATGGGAATTGATAAACCTGATGTGAGATTTGTAATTCATCATTCAATGAGCAAGTCAATGGAGAATTACTACCAAGAGAGCGGACGTGCAGGTATTGTAGGAAACAGCAAAGCATCCCTTAACATCTGTTTGGCTAATAAAATTATGCTTTCATTTCAGACCTACATGCAGTATTTTTGTCTTTGATTTTAATTGCAAAGCATTCCACCACTCTCCCCTCCATAAACATGTTGTAAAGCAGATACAAACTACATTCTTGGATGTCAAACCTCTGCACTGCAGAGTAGCAAAAATAGCTGAGTGTCCAGCCCTTTAGGCAGATTTTTGTTGAGTTACTTGATTTTTCTGGCATCTGTGGCTTACCAGAGCAACATGACATTGATCAGACTTGTCACAGAATTTTTTTTTTTCCTTAGCACAGCAGCTAGGATGTGTAATCTGCTCAGAATCTCTAGATGACGTGTGATCTCTGTCTGAATTTTGCTGGCCACAGAAATAAAAGTGGAACAGGGGGCCTGGGGCAATGAATTTTAAAGATTAATCACTAAATTGTACAGCAGGATTAAATAGCTGGAAGAGCTTTAAAAAAAATGCTTTTTGGTTTGTTTGTTTCCTGTTAGTTATTAGCTAATTGACAGCTTATTTAGCTGTATTAGTTCTTTTTCAAAAACAGATTTCACTGTATGTGGAGGAAAGCTTTTATTTTTTTCTAAGGGCCCAAAAGGGCAGTTGGTTGAGATTTTAACTCTCTCTGTGGTAGAACATGCTGGCCTAAAGGATAAGAGCCGTCAAAGTTGCGGGAGTTTGTTCTTCTTGTTCTGCCTCTGTACTTACTGTGCTGAACTAAAGCTAGTTAAACCTGGCTATTAGTGGAGCAAAGATGTTTGCATGAATCAGCCAAACAGTATTAAGCTATGTGTTCATACTTGTTTGTGGAGTCATTATGGAGAAATATCTTCTGGGACTTTTCTTCATACACTGTTACTGTCCATGTAGCAAAAGTGAAATGTTTTTCTCTGGATTCAAATTTCAAACTCAATTAAGTACATATGCATCTGTCAGCTGCTTCACTCTATGAGTTTATACTTCACATAAATGCTATAATGACTTGAGAATATTTAATTGTACTAAAAAATACTTCCATTTAAATAAAAAGGATGTTTTTATTTTCAGAAATCTCTGATAGTCTAAAATCAAAAGAATTTTCTCAGTAGTCTTGAATACCATGTCATATTTTTACTTGAATAATTCATTTTCCATTATTAGAATTTTCAGGTCTTCATATTACCCATCTCTAGAGTCCCAGTTCAGAGTAGGAAGATTGTCCAAAATTCTGATCAGTTCTTTCTGATGGCTGTCTTTCCATATCACGCTAAATGACGACCTCTGCTTACACTAGAACCTGTTTCATTATAGACAGTGCAGGAGTTAACATGAATTATAAATATTGTAAAGTCAGGGGTCTTACAGGTGCTAAGTAGTTGTTTCACAGTCTTTATCAGCTCAGGGTGATTACAGTAGGCTTTTGTATGTTTTCCATTACTTAATTTAAATGAGATTTTTCTGAGGGGGATTCTTTAAGTACTGCTACTCATTTGCCTCAACATATCACTTAGTTTATGAAACTTTCCTTTCTCCTCCCAGTTGGCTGCCCAAGTGAAGTAGTTCCTCTCTTTTTTTAATGTTAAACTCTTATCAAGTATAGGCTCTGTAGACCCTTTCTGCTCTTTGGATCTTGCAAACAGTAGGAGAGTACCCATTGCATCATCAGGAGGAGTGGCCAACAGAAAGATCTGAGTTCAGCTGTAGAAGTCACAGTTGGTTTTAAATGGAATATTTTGTTTAATCGTAATTCTCAATTCATTATGAATACCTAATAAGGTATTTGAAGGTCACAGTATCTTTTAATAGAGTACGAATTAGGCTTCGGAATATATTTGGATAGGATTTTCCAAGAGATGTAGGATGAGAAAATGGTGATTGCATTCAATTTCTGTATCACATCAGTGTTATTTTTAGTAGTTCAAGAGTAAGAACCTTCCTTCTACAGACTTTTCAGTTTGCTTGTGTAGCTGTAAAAGACTGTTCTAGATCTATTTTGTTTCTAGTCTGTATCACGTTGTGTTCTACTGGCTGATGTTACACTCAGTAGTCTGTTACAGTGATGTACTCTATATGAGGCTACAGAAGCCAAAGAAGATGTGATTAGAATTTGTACCGGACTATGCTTAAAGTCTACATCTTTTGTTTGTCTTACTGTATTGCAGGTAGGGATGACCAAAAAGCTGACTGCATCCTGTATTATGGTTTTGGAGATATATTCAGAATCAGCTCAATGGTAGTGATGGAAAATGTGGGGCAAGAGAAGCTGTATGATATGGTGTCTTACTGCCAGAATACGAGCAAGTGAGTTACTTCAGTTGCTTGATCGCTTTGTTTTTAAATAGCATTCAGAGCAGCCTTTCTTGGGCTCAGTCTAAGAACGAGCTTATATTAAAAGATTTATTTCATTCTATTGGAATTGCAAATCATACTTATTCTCCTGCTTTAACCATGCTGTTTACAGACTAGTTTTTATATTAGTGAAAGCTAACTACTTCTCGTAGCGTAACTGACAGAGAATACCGTGTTGTGGTATTTATCTTCTGATTTTCCTGAGACACTTCTTTATGCTTGCTGAGAGATAAAAGCTTACCAGGATAATTTCTTTTCACTACTCCCATGATTTGTAACACTTGCATATAAATTTGTATTCTATAGCCCCTCTTTGCTCTTCTGTTCTTTCAGGTGCCGCCGGGTGCTCATAGCCCGTCATTTTGATGAAGTATGGGAGTCTGCAAGCTGCAACAGAATGTGTGATAACTGCTGTAGAGAAAACTGTAAGTAATTTGTTTTTACAAATAAAGACAGAGCACGTGGAAAAGTTTTGCTTAAAAATAATCTAGTTTAGAGTGACTGTGAGCAACTTCTGTCAAGTATGCTTGATATATTACCTGTTACCCAGTTGCAACTTCTGTTATGGAGATCAGTTTTCATTGACTTTTTGTTGCCAATTACGGAGTATTTAGCAGGATACATCTTTGTACAGCTTTTTGCCTGAGATATCTTTCAGGCTCAGCAGTTCATCTGCTTCCAGAAGTGAATATGAGACTTAGGGGAGATCGGTTTGGGTCCTGTTTTGTTTAAGGGTTTTCTTAGGGGTGCAAAAGCTGCATTTCCAGGAATTGTCCTGCTCCTTCCCCATCAACCTGTTCACACTTCAGCTCTGAGAAGGCACATTTTGTGCTTTTACAACTTGTCTGGTAAAATCTCTAGGGATTTCAGTACTGCGTGCTCATGAGTCCTGCCTGTATCAGCACTGTGCATATGACAGTTGAGCACACTAATGTAGCAAAATCCTGAATGTCAGCCATAATAGCACAGTGTTGGTTTGGAGTATGCTTTTCCTTTGGAGGGAAGTTGGGTTTATAAGTGGGACCATATGGGCCAGACGTACAGGGAGGTTGGTAGAGGAGCTGAAACAAGTCCTGCAGTGTGGTAAAAGAGGATGCCTTCAGTAGAATGCAGTTCTGGTACTTAATTTCTTTTATTGCTTTGCCAGCAAGCATCCTAAGCACTGTTGGGTAGCTAGCTTAAAATACGCTGTTGTGGTAATTGTTGCTGTTTTAACTGTCACTTTTTGTGCCCATCCAGAAAGCTGCGAGTCTCTGAAAATGTACAAAGTATTTTTTGTCATGCTTACAAAGTGGAATCCATAGCTTAGACATAGGAAATGCCCTATAAAGCTGAGAAATCTTTCAGAAGAATGCTGAGAAATAATTAGTCTTGGGGATCTCTGAGACACACAAAAACACCTTAAAATTTTTTGAATGCTAGATAATTTGTATAAAATGTGGAAAATACCAACTCATTGTCTTCTATCTGTTGTGAAGCATTGCATACTGTAGTGATGAGTACTTGAAAAATTTTACATGATGAAGCTGATTTGTACAATTAAATATATTTTTATCTCTTATTTTGTAAGTGCCTTGAGAAAAGAAACATGCCTTGAGCATGTTCCTCAGTTCCTCTTTGCTCTCTAATCTTTCTATAATAAACATTATAGGTAAGGAAAAGGAATCCAGTTGCAGAACAATGTAATAGCTACTGTACAAATATTATGCCTTGTAAATAAGTCTTTGAAATAATTTATGTGGTTTGTAATACAAACACCTAAAAATATTTGCAGGATCAGAGTTTTAATAATGAACTAGAAATGTAAGTGTAAGCTTGAGTAGAAAAAGTCCCACATGGACAGAGGAGAAGTTACAGATCAGTCTAAGTTACAGTTCAAAAAACAAAACAAAGCACTGAAAGCATTGGCATTATATGGCACATAGATACGTGTATTTATAGATATATCTTTTTATACAAAAGTACTTTGCATATGGAAACTAACTATAAATGAGTTGCATTTTAAATACTATTGATTTTTGTAGCACTTGAGCAAAAGGATATCACAGAATACTGCAGGGATCTAATCAAGATACTGGAGCAAGCAGAAAACATGAGTGAGAAGCTCACTCCACTGAAGTTAATTGATGCGTGGTCTGGAAAAGGTTTATCAAAACTCAGGGTGGCTGAAGTAACTCCACCAAAACTCCCTCGAGAAGAACTGGAGAGAATTATTGCCCATTTACTGCTGCAGCAGTATCTGAGGTAGGAAGATTATTACTTTCTTCTCTTACAATTCATAGCCATTTTTAGTTATTGTCATGTTGCTTCCATATAATATTAATGGATGTTCTGTCATCTCCTTCAGAATCATTTAATGTATTTAGCAAACAAAGAGGGGATTACTGTGTTTCTATTTGAGTAAGTTAAAACAAGTTGTAGGAACATTTGAAACACTCTCAATTTTTAAAAAGTCTGGGGGCTCCTGCAGTTCTGTAAGTGGAACCTTTAGATCTGCAGGAAGCTTTGTGTTGGAGAAGTCTGCTATTTATAGTGAGTCTTATGCCATGGATAAGCAAAGTAAGTTGGGTTACCACATAGAATTTAAGATAGGACAGGCTGATTAACGTGGGAAGCGGCACTCAAATTTTAAGAAAGCACAGTGAAAAAGTGCTCCTTTTCTAACATGGTTCTATGGTGGGGGGGGGGGAGTGTTTGTATATGTATAAAAGTCTGCAAACTAAATTATGTTAACTACTGACCAGATGCAGTGACTATCTACTTGGCTAAGTGAAGCAGAATCAAGTTGCTGCCACTTTGAACATCAATCAGAACAATTACTGTATGTGTCCTGTTTTTCCCCTGCACGCTGACTTTGTCTCCAACCTTCTCAAATGAAACCATTTCAATTTACTCAGGGAAGACTTCAGCTTCACGGCATTTGCTACAATATCCTACCTGAAGATAGGACCAAAAGCAAGTCTGTTGAAAAATGAGGCACATATCATCACAATACAAGGGACAGCCAGCAAGAAAAGCGTTTACCGGGTATTTATATCTGTATTTACATAGAGCTTATTTTAAGAGGTTGGCATCTGTTCAATTTATTTAAGATAGCTATCATCTCTTTTGCATGAGAACACTAGAAAAGAAGAAAACTTAGAATTTTAATAGAATTGTTTATGACTTACAGAACAAACCATCCGAGTCTTCAAATCCAGAAGGAAGCAGTGAAAATGCTCAGACTGTTTCAAAGACTACCCAGGATTCAGTGGTGAAGAAGTCACAAGAACGTAAGCGGCATAACTGTGGAACTAACTTAAAAGCAAAAAAGCCTAAGCTTCAAGCAGGGGGAGCTGACCAACCTGTAGAACTTGACTGAGTAACACAGACTGCAGTTAGGATCTCATTATTATGTTTACCTCTCCATGGACAGTCCAGCATGTAAGCTCACTTTGTATTTTAGTAACGGAGTTTTGTATATGATTTTTTTAAAAAAATAATTTAAGTTAAAAAAAGGGAACCAAGTATCTTTAAAATCCTCAAATCTAGCAAAGATCTTCTGGTCAAGAGAAGAATGCTTGATATCAAATAACAGGTGTGTATCTTACAATACAGCAACAACTATAATATATAAATATCGATCATGTTGCCTTTCTTAACTCTTCAGAAAATGTAGCTGGTAATAACAACTATAGTAAATGTTGCAGAATCACACACGTTAGAAGGGGACTTCCAGCTTGTCCAACGCAACTTCACTGCTCAAATTCAGTTCTCTAAGAACACTGTGCTCTGGGCTACATCTGAGTTTCGTTGCTCCCCAAGGACAGAGATATCACAACACTTCTCAGCACTTGTTGTGGTGTTTTACCAGCTCATAACAACAACAAATAAAAAACAAAACCAGAAATTTCTAGAGCTTTTATTTCCTATTGTGACTCGTCTCTTGCCTCATGTCCTACCTCTTACTGTGCTCAAGCTGGACCTCATTGCTCCTGTGCTCTACCAGGAGATAGTTAAAGACAAGATGACAACACTCCCGTGCCATCCAGCCTTTTTCTTAATGTGGAACAAATCCAGTTATCTCCAAGCCACAAGAAAGTTTAGAAGCCATTTTGCTGGACTCAGTATATTGCATCAGTTTCTTTAACAAGAAAGTCTAAAAATGAACCCAGAACTCCAGCTATCGTATCACAAAGGATTGTACTGGTCCTCTCTATTCTGCAGCTACTGTTAAAGAACTACACCCTGTATTTATTGGAAGATTACTGCTTTGTTTCAAAGTTTGTAAGAGCTTACTGAAGATTCACTTAGAGATAATGACTGAGAAGTAGAATCATAGATTCCAGAATTGTTTGAGTTGGAAGGGACCCTTTTAAAGTAGTTCAACTCCCCTGCAATGAACAGAGACAGCTCCACCTCAATCAAGTTGCTCAGAGTCTGTTCCAGCCTGACCTTAAATGTCTCCAGGGCAAGGACATCCACAACCTGTTGAGTCCTTCACCACTATTACTGTTGGGGGGGGAGAGGGAAGAAGAAAAACACCAAAAAGCTTCTTCCTTTCATCTAATCTAAATCTCCTGTCTCTTAGTTTGAAACCATTTCCCCTTGTCCTATTCCAACAGATCTTGCTAAAGAGTCTGTCCCTTTTTTTCTTATAACCCCCCTTTAGAGGCCTTTCAGTATCTATCAGTCTCTCCCAAGCCTTCTCTTCCCCAGGCTGAATAGCCCCATCTCTTTCTGCCTGACCTCACGGGGGAGGCATTCCATCCCTTGGATCATTTTTGTGGCCCCTTCCTGGACAAAACCCTACAGGTCTATGTTTCTTCTGTAATGAGAACTCCACATCTAGACACAATATTCCAGCTGAGGTCCCACCAATGCAGGGGGGCAGAATCACTTCCCTCACCCTGCTGGCCATGATTCTTATGATGCAGCCCAGGATACAGTTGGCTTTCTGGACTGTGAGGGCACATTGCTAGCTCATGCCCATTTCAGCATCTGCCAGAGCCTCAACTCTATCCTCACATCCCCCAGCCTGTACTGGTGGCAGATGTTACCACAACTCAGGTGCAACAGCTTGTAATTGGATTTGTTGAACCTCATGAGGATCACCTGGGCCCACTGCTTGAGTTTCTCAGAATGGCATCCCATCCCTCAGGCATGTCAACTGTACCTCACAGCTTGGTGTCATCTACAAACTTGCTGAGCGTGCACTTGATGCCCCTGCTGATGACACTGAGAAGATGTTAAAAAGAACCAGCCTGAGTACAGACCCCTGCAGGACACCACTCGTCACCCAGCTCCATCTGGACATTGAGCCACTGACCACCACTCTCTGGGTACAATCCCAGAACCAGTTCCTCACCCATCAAATTCTTTCCAAGTTGGAAAGAAGGATGTTTTGGAGAACCTTGTCAAAGGCCTTACTGCAGTCCAGACAGATGACACCACCGGCTCTTTCCTTGTCCACTGAGTCAGTTATGCCATCAGAAAAAGCCATAAGGGTGCTCAGGCAGGACCTACCCTTAGTGAAGCCATGCTGATTATCCTATATAATCTCCATCTCCTCCATGTGCCTTAGCATGGCTTCCAGGAGGATCTGTTCCATGATCTTCCCTGGCACAGAGGTGAAGCTAACAGGTTGGTATTTCCCTGGGTTATCCTTTCTTCTCCCCTGCTTAAAAATGGGTTTTTCAGTCACCTGGTGGACTGCACCTGAGCAGTAAGTAAATGTTATGCTCCCACCAGGTTATAAACCTTAGCACTCAGCTTTTTTCAAGTGAAGTTTAGTCCTTTCCTTGACTAAGGGTTCTGGATTTCCCCCTTCTCAGAAACTAGGACATAAATGTACATTGACCTAATGTAGGGTACTCCAAAAGTAATGCCTGTGTTTATTTTAAAGAGAATCACGATAGATACAAAGAGCACACACACACTGTTTGATAGCGCAAATTCTCAGCTACAAAACACTTTTCCAACACAGTCCCCACAATTAGCTATTCCTTTTTCTCCAGCACCAAACAAGAACCTAAATGCCATGCTTGTGAAAACTGCACCAGCCCCTGTGACCCGCTGTTGCCGTTGCTGAAATGCACCACCCACTATCTCCCTATGCTCACAGCTCTGTTTGGTCTCTGTAAACATTCAGCAAGCATCAACAGATGTCAGTGGATACCATTTTTTTCCACATGGTGGAATTCAGTGACACACCTTGGCTTCACATGCACTTCCATGTCAGATGCTTCCATCTGTCACACTGGAACAAAATGTAACAGAATATTGGGGGGAAGGTTCAACTTTCACTGCCATACCACCAATATCTGTCTCTGACATTGTAGGCCAACAGGAAGCTTTACTTTGACAGCAGTCCTCATACATCAACTCGCTAGTGTCAGGATTACAAATTGCTGCTGGATAAACTCAATAACCAGGATATTACTTTCATCAACTCCTTTGAGACTGAACACAATCTAGAACCAAATGACCATTCTCCTCTTACCTTTATTTAAGGGAACCTACAGCCGTTGGCCTTTTACAAGCTTTTATGCCTTAGGCTGAACTGTGCTTGCAGCTTTGATCACAAATTTCTGTTTTTCTGCTAGTCTTAAATGCAAGTGGTCGCTGCACAGTACATTGTTACCACCAGCAATATCTGGTTTGAAAACAACATTCAGCTTAACTTCTCATTTAGAGCTCTTTCCTTATGAAGCTCGTCATAGCATTTGCAACCTCTTTCTTACTAAACAAACCCTATCCTTAAACTGTTATCAGCAAAAGCTTTGCCACCTACTTAGTAAAATTAGCTGAAAAAGATGTGCAGCTTCCTAACAACTGATTTAAATCTATTTCACCAAAGCTTTATGGAGGAGCTGCTGTTAAACACAACATTCTTGCTATATAACAATTTACATCTGACTAATTACCATAAATTTTGGGAAGGTTCATTTTCATACAGTAAGTGAAGACGAGGAAAGTAATACTCCTTTCCAAACAAGGAGCAAAATCTGTAGCTTAGCATTGTTTCACAGACATGAAATGGCTCTTGAAGAAAAAAAGCTGATGCTTTTTAGCACCTACAAATGCTGGGGTATGTTAAGAGCTTCAGTTCTTTCTGCAGTGGTGGGGTTACTACAAGTTTTCTTTCCATTTCTACTCTCCTCAGTCCTGAATGATGTGTTTATATAGCAATCTTCTGAATTTGATTATTTAAAGTGTGACAGTACTGTTTGCTTAACTCTACCTTCTTTGTTATATAATTGAGTGCCAGGAAGCCTTTCTCTTTTCAAGCCTAACTTCACTGTAACATGGGAATGCAGTGACCTGTACCACTCTCCTGGCTCAACTGTGGCATTTTTTATGGGTCATGATCTCTCCTCAGCAATCCCTGTGGATTTGAGGAAATCTTTAGCTACAGGATCTTTTTGCTTCCTTCACAGAGGAGCTGCAGATGCCAGAAGAATGTATGTATTTCTACTGCACATACAGTTAACTATAGAAAAAGTTGGCTTCCTTAGACGCACACGTACAGCAGTATTGTCAGAAAAAGGTAACTGTGCTACCACAGGGGGAAAGACACAGCTACTACTGACTGCAAGAGCTAGTTAGGCACATATGTGTTTGAATGCTTGATCTGCTATGTTTTTTGTAGGCACTCAGCTGTGTATCAACTTCAAATTCCACACACAAAAAATACTCCATGTTACTCAAGTAAAGCTCTTCAGCTTTATTTTTCTGATAGAATTCCATGACTGAAGCTTAGAGTTTTCACGCATCAATAAATTGAAAGCTTTGCCAAAAATAGAATTAATTCATTCAATTAAACAGTCATTCTCTTCAAAATAATTAGAGTATTTTCTGGGAGAAGTCCCAGCATATAATGCCACCTTTGTACAAAGAAATACTCCTAGTTCAATCCTAAATAGTAACTCAACTGCAGATCAAAATCAAGTATGAAACGATTTGTGTCCATGAATACAAAGACAATGCAAAGGAATAGCTTGAATAGTTGGATTTTATCAGTAGGAAATGAGGCACTTAGTGTAATTATTATTACTTGTCACAAAGAAAGTAGCATATGCAAACCCATGCATATGTATCATGATGACTACAGTACATCTTCCATTACTAAACATACATCCAGGAAGTGTGTTATAATTCAAGACTTATATTTAAAATAATTTAAATAAAAAAAAAAATCTTAAAACATTCTGCTAAGTTGCAGGAAGGGGGCTTATATTAGTGACCAAAAGTCAAATTTGAATTTCTTACCTCCAGAAATTCCTTCCTGGAACCAACATACATGACTGTAAGCAAGGAGAGGGCAGAAAGCTGCAAGGACAAAGAACCTCCTGAGTGACTTCTTTATCTGACTGCAATAGTTCTCTGCTTGAACCCCATCAGCATAATGGAAATCACACAAAAGTTTAAGAAAAATCTTCAAAACACACAGCAAAACGATTGGTATTGAAAATGCAAAACTTCCAATATCAGCTTTGTGCACAGGGCCACTCTCTTTCCAGCAGTCAGAATGGCACCCAGTACCATCTACCTAATGAGATACATCCAGCAGTCTGCTCTACAGATCTGATAAGGTCTCTGCAGGTGACAGCCACCAGTGGTGTTGTGCCAACCCTTCTTTGGAGTGGCTTCACACTGCTCCTGTTGAAAATCACACAGGATGGCATCAGTTCAGCTTTACCACAATACCTGAAACAAACATAAAGCACCCAGTTTGTTCTGTATTTGCAAACTACACTGCAGATGGCAAAAGCTTTAAGTGCCAGCTTGAAAGTGATGGTGCTGTTAGCTGGAACAGGAGACTTAGAACCTGAGCCAAGTACTTGAAGTTATTAGCAGCAGCAGGATGCAAATGGAATGGATTGTAGAACATTACGCATGGCTCTTCCC